TACGCATGTATTTATTTAGAGCTCATCAAGGCTGCACCCGGTATTAGTGCTCTTGCCCGGGGATTTGGGCACATCCTTCATGTGATCGTTCAACTCTTGTACCGCACACTCACCTTAGATTCAAGTTTGGTGCCAGCCTGTTGTACAGACCACAATAGGTGGTTCCGACTCATAGGTGACCCGCGATTTATCGCACAGCCCTCATGTGATCGTAGCACTTGAGCGTACATATTTATACCTAGCCTGTCGTACAAGTCACATCAAGTGAGTTCGACTCGTGTGCTAGCCTAGGTTGATGAGCTATGGTTCCAGTCGTATAGGTCACATTAGGTGACTCCAACTGACATGTTATTTTATATTGATTCTACACCTGGCTTACATGATTTAGAGCTGAAACGTTATGACATGGCATATTTTGGGTATCAATGCACTTATGCATTGCTTTTCATATATACGTAGTATTATTTTCTGGAAATTATATGGGTTTTACAATGAGGGGTTATTATGTTCATAAAAGATAAACGTGTTTTCAAACGTTTTGTTTTTGCCCACTCACTCTTCTGTTTTGCGCCCTTCTAGGTTCTAGGTAGTTGATCATCTTTGGGTGGCTCACGAGGACTTCCCAGCAATTTTGATATATCCATAAATAAGTAGGGATCTTCTCCCTATTTTGTATAATTAGCACTTACTTGGTTTGACTGCACTGTTGGATTGCCTATGCTCTGAATACTTGTATTTGGTACTTGACCACTTTCACGCACTTATTTATTATCTGTAACAACCCGTCCCGATTTTATTGGAACGAATAGGGTATTTTCGTGAAATTACATCTTGGGTTAGATCTTTTTCTTTTAAAATTGTTTTTGGGTCTTAATTGGTGTGCCAAGGGGCCCACCTCTGATTTGGTTCCCCCGGCTCTCCCATTTTTTCTGATTTCTAACATATACACACCCACACACAGTTCTCTCTCTCTCTTCCCATCACTTTCTCTCCCTTTCTTTCTTCTTGTTCCACACCCCCGATTTGGGTTAAGGTGACCTGATTTCAGGCCAGGGATTTGGCCCGTTTTTGGCACACTTTCAAACGCTCATAACTTATTCGTTACTTAACCAAATCAAGTGATCCAAACATGAAAGTTGTAGTACTCGACGAGATGAAGAGATTGATACCCTACACGCCGGTCAAATCATAATGGTTTGGCTGGAAAACGAGTCACCTCAACCCAAAACCTTTTAAACCCTTTTCAAAAACCCAGCCTAAACAATTAGGCTATGTAGTCGGCCCAAACCCAAAACCTAATCCTCTAACCTAGCCTAACCCAAGCCCCATTTCTATCAACCTAAGCCTTATGGCCCAAATGACCCAAAACCCAAACCCTTTGAACCTAGGGCCTTCGGCCCACTAAACCCTTTAACCTAAACCTAACTCCCAACCTGGTGGAATATTTCATGGAAAAATACCCGGGACACTTCTTAGGGTAATTCGACGTCCTAAATCCGTTTCCAATATCTGTTTTCCCAAATTCAATTGTTATAATAGAGTTTTATTAATTTGACCCTTTATGTGCTTAGGGGCAATTATTTGTGGCGTCTCCGTCTTTGCTAGTTTGCGTGACTCTTCAGCGGCAAAGTATCTGTGAGTGGACCCCTTCTAAAATGCATGTTTTAATAGTAGAAATGCATACATGGAAAAGCATGATTTAGCAATTATGTTCTATGAAACGCTTTGAGATAACATGCTTACTGAGGCTATTTTGAATTATTACTATTTTTCCTATAACCCGTGTTCTTATAGAATATCTGATGGATGACGATATGATATTTAGAACATGTTTCAAACACCTATTTATAGTATAGATGATGGATGACTTTATACTATGAAGTTGTTTTTCAATATATATATGTTCAATGGTTTTGTACTTACCTAGTGGTCCCTATTCCGCTATAGGACGAATGGATAGATTCCGATCTGTCTCGGGTGACGGTTATGGTGTTGGCATAGGGCTTGAAGTGTTTTTCCTCTGGCTATTAGCACAGGGACAGGGAGCTGGCATGGTGCTTGGGGGTAACTTTCCTCTGACTATTTGCTTAGAGACGGGGAGCCGGCATGGAGCCTGGAGAGTTATTAAACATTCACTAGTGGTTATTATACATACAAGTTATGATTTGAGATATTGCACGACATGCTAGGTTTTGGAAAACCTATGTTTATCATGATATATATGTGTTTTCATAAAACCTGGGGGTTAGTATGTTGATAACTGTTTTATTATATATATATATATATATCAACTTAGTCCACTTATGTTTGTTTTGCGCCCCCTTCAGAATTTAGAATCGAGGCATACAATCCCGACGTCAAGGCACTTCCGCATTGGCATCTTCGAGTCCTCTCGGTATAGGACCCACTCCTTTGTTCATTCAATTTTATATTAATTATTTAAGCGTTCTAGATTAGTTGTGTGCTCTGAACACGTTCCTAAAATGCATATTCATTATCTTTTATATTTATAAGTCTTATTTATTCCTTGTTCTCAGCATTTGCATTCAATAAATGGCTTTCGTCACCTTCGGATGTCGGCCAGAACGTGCTTATCTTGGAATTTCGAGGAATATCGGGATCGAAGCGTGTCATTATCACTAGTTAAATTAGCTTAGGTTGGTTTTTATTTATTCGCATTTTCTTATTATCGTATACACTTCTATTGCGCACTTGGCTATGTTACCCTCACGTGATGGCCAATACGTCTCGACTTTGGTCGTGGTGTGTCAATTTGTATGTATAATTATAGAAAAATTTGTTTGGATATGACTATTTATATATTAAAAGTATTTGAGAGTAGAAATAAATGACAAATTCTTTATTTTATTCATGTTAAATGTTACTCATGAAAAGCAGTTGTACTTTTTAATTCTATCATTTTTGTGGTGTTAGTAGGAATATTTTTTTTTCCTGTGAATAACCTTTAATTTGGACAAAATTAGAAATTTGTCATCCATTTCTTTCTTTAAAATGCATTAGAAACACTTTGAACACTCATTTTATAGCTATTTTAGTTTTCGATTTTGTTATTTCACTTTTCCGTGTTAGTAGTAAATACATAGAAAAAAAATGAGGTATGAAGGATGCAAAAAATAAAAGAAATGTACAAATTAAAACACACAAGCCGCGACCACGCTTAGCAATCTCATTAAAAGTCTCGGAACATAAAGAAATCTAATAGCCAATAAGTTCTTTTGATGCCCTTCTGAAAACTAGCATCGTGTATATATGTATATTGAGGCTTTTAAGGGAATATATTTTTATTTTTTTAAATGGGGATTAGTTATGGGGTTCCATCATATTGAACTTCAACTATCTGAACAGTCTATTTTTCAAGTTGAACCTTATAAATCATCCTTGCAAAATATTAGTCAAATCGAAAACATTTGAGATATCTAATTAAGTACAAAGAAATTAACAAACAAGTTCCATGTACTAAACCAGTAAAATAACAAGAAAAATGGGATCTAATTCATAAACTCATCTACCCAGATTTAAGATTGACTAATAACTAATTCATAAGTTAGGACATTAGACCGCGCAAACGAACAAACGGCACCATATGATAAAACTACAAATATCTCTTTATTGACGAAAAACAAAGAAAAATTACAAAATCGCTGAGGCAACTACATAACCCTTCAAGAATATATCTTGTCAGACTTATATAAAATAAATGAATACAAACACTCATATATATAGTGAAACATAAAATAAACCCTAAACCTTAATGGGCAAGAAATCTTTATCCTTGGCCCACAAGAAAACCATAAATAACAATAAAATAAATAACTAATTTTTCAACACCCTGTCAAACTTATGGCGGCACATGACATGAGTTTGCCAACAAGCAGATGCGAACATAGACTCCGTTAACATTAACTATGGTTAGTTTTTATGCAGCTCGGTCTTTGTAGAATTGTGTCACACATCTAAAACATTAACCATGGTTAGTTTTTGCCTTTAATTTTTTTTTTTTTGAAAAAGAAAAAAGAAATTAATACATTATATCTTTTTTACCATTTAATATACACTTACACCATTAAGAAGAAACACTCCATGCTAGCTTGAATTTCAATTGAGTGTACAAGATAAACAGCATCACCCAATTAAATTAGCATGCCAATCAATTAATTTAATCCATAGACATGTAAGTTTTGAATAAAATTTATCAAAGTATTTGGTGGAGAGTATGGAGTCCGTGCAACACATTTCAATGTGTAATAAGAGCTTTACAATTATGATTTTAAATCAATCATGCCTTAATTCGAAAATTGGTATTTCTCAATTTTCTTGGAATGGGGCGCGACAAAAATGTCTGATATCCGCGATATGTAAGGTATATATAAAGCGTGCACTACGCGCCCTTTCTCATATATTGAGAATTATTGACTAAATCTACTTCATTTAATTACGGATTTTATTTTATTAAATAATGAGTTTGAGGGGGTGTTAAAAAGTAAAATAGAAATTATTTTTGATTTGATTTAATTAAAGATTCTTTGTTTTAGAGTGTTTGAAAGTGATTTTAAAATGACTGGAAATGTTTTATAGAAAATGTTTTTGGGATCTAAAAACACTTCAAGTGTTCTTCCGGAATTTACTTGTGTTTTTATTAAGGATTGGTTTAAAAAACATTTTCATAAAAAATGTTTTCAGTCATTTTAAAATCACTTCCAATCAAGCTTAGATACCAAGCTTACTTTTTTTAGGGCCGGTTTATTTTGATTTTATTTCCTATTTATTACTTTTGTTCTCTTATAAATTGATTTAAGATGGGGAAGAAAGAATAATACTGTGAGATTATCAAAGAATTCTGGAATTTTATCGTAAAACCTTTATTTTTAACGATAAACTTGTGCGAGATGATGCCATTCGCTGCATATTGTGCTACTGGGGTTGCAATCGTGGCTGCATTAGTTTTTTCTTGTTTCTATATTTATACAACATATAACGTGATGGATGAATCATCACCAGGCACCGTGTCATACCACTCCTATCAACGATCTCTGCGCCGCGATGTTGAAAGTGGTGGAACCAAAGACGGTGGTGTGGCTGTTTTGGGAGCAGCTGGTTTTACTTTGGCTAATTCAACTGCTGTAGCTACCGTAAATAGTCATGTTGGCAGCATCAGCGGTGGAGGCTGTGGGGGTGGTGGCAGTGGAGGAGGCTATGGCGGCGGTGGTGAGGGCGGTGTAGGAGGTTATGGTGGTGGTGGAGTATTTTGAGGTTGCATGATTGGATCGTGTTGTTAATACTGGTTCTCTAATTATGCTTGTCATCTAGCACGTCAACACCAATTCGTGTTGTAAGTGTTGGATTGTCCTACTAGTTAGGCTAATTATTTTTAAACCACTACGTCAAACTCTTTTTTTATTTTTTTTATTTATTTTTTCTTCTTCTTCTCTTCTTAGCAATATTTAGAATAGAAATACCGTTTGTATTCGTTGGTTGAAATTTAGGTTTGTCATGTGTATCCCATTTGTAACTGGATTAATTGGATCAGATTTTGACTTAGATTGCAGTATCCCATATCACCCCATATAAGATGATTTTTTTGGGATACTTTGGATGCGGTCCCTAATCCTTAACATTCTTTGATTAAAACCTTAATAGTATTCAAAGTTTGATCAAGGTCCCTTGACTTTGTACACCTCAATATATTACTATTAATATTTATATTTTTATAGTTTTGACATTAATTGTTTGATATTTTATGAGATTTAAAATCCTATAAATTTAAAATCCTTCATTATAATACTATTAGAAACGCTTACAATAAAAAAAAGTCAAACATTTTGATTGAATAAATGGATAAAAACTATGTAAAAATAAGAAATAATAAATGGCAAAGAATGTATCCATAGTGTTAAAAAAATTGGTACATTTCACATATAACAAAGTGATATATTTATAAAGAAGAATGGGTACATTATAAATAAATTAGGGTACAGATAAAAGATTAAAAATTATGAGTACAAATGAATTTTTAAAAATATAGGCGCTAAAAGAAATTAATACATGGGTACAAAATAAAACTAAAAAAACAATACTACAAATTAAAAAAAAAATGTTGCAAATTAAAAGTGGGTACAAATTAAAAATATAAATATATGATACAAAGTTTAGGCATAACATAAATATACCATATGAAAATTTTCTATCATTGATTAAATATACAATGTCATGTGACCGTATACACATGAGTACAAACACAAATAAAGCTTTAAAACATATGGGCAGAAAAAGAAACTAATATATGGGTACAAATTAAAAATGAAAAGAAAATTGGTACAAATTAAAAAATATTTGCAAATTAAAAATAGGTACAAACTAAAAATAAAAATATATGATAAAAAAAAATTTAGCCATAAATATAAATATACTAATTGTAACATTTTTAACACAAAAGGAATATATGTAAAAATAAAAATATTTTATTATTCAAATAATTAATGATGTGTTGTAAACATTCCTAGTTTAAGTATGATTGTGTAAATCCTAGATAAGCATTGATTCTAGTTATCCTTTCCTATTACAACTTGTATTACTTGGAGAGAAGAAATATCTTCTCTACCTTTACTACTATAAATAAAGGCACAATGTAGGAGGGATAACAACACACACATTCCCCTACAATTCTACAAACACACATCTCTCTTCTCTCTTTCTTTGCCGCCGACCCTAGTCTCTCTGTCAGATAAAATAGACCACAACACGTTATCAGCACGCTCCTACCGCTGCGCTTAGGAATCTGACGTTAGAGATTTTTTTTTCTGCATCAAACCAGTTCATCCATATCATCACGCAATCAGGTTCTTTCCAAACAACGGCTTTTAACTCGATATTTTGCAAGCCCTGATAGCATAAACATTCACCATGATGCATGACCCAACTTTACGTTTAACGTATTTTAGATTCTACATAAATTGTGTATGCTTCATAATCAAAATTGCTACAATTATGTGAATTTGATATTTACCATGAATTGAATCTTACATATGTACATGCATTGAAACTATTATATGCATATGCATCAACATAAATATGTGATTCATTAAAATTATACATGCATATAATATAATTGAATTGAAAATAAAAACAAAAACAAAAAACATTTTTTTTGCGATTGGGATATGAGTTCTTTCGAACCCGTGACCACCATCCTGCAGATGGGGTATCACACGCAAATCAGAGAGCATTCAGCTCTCCTTGTTCCTAGAAACCCACGGAGCCAAGCCCCAAAAACCCAAAATCCCGACACCCTTCATGGTGTCCCCCGATCATGGAGTGGCCTACAGCCACAACCACGAACCTATTAATTCTTGCTATAAACGACCTAAAGTCGTCCCATGTCGGTAATTGAACCGAGATTCACCGGAATCTCGTCGGAATTTTTTTTGAAAAATTCGATTTCAATTTTTTTTTAGGGTTTTATAGTTGTTGAAACGTTGAGATTTTCTTATCTCCGTGGTTGTCCACGACAACCGTGACTCACCCCAAGTCCCAACAACCCCGACGCCGTCAAAATTTTCCGACTTTCTTCTTCGGCATCGCACACCCAGCACGGCTGGGATTTCTTTGGACCTCTTTCCCGAGCCCTACTCAGGCTCTGTCTCTCGGCCTGTGTAACAAAAGAAAAAACACAAAAATTATTTTTTTTTAGCTGGGCTCGCTTGCAGCGGCCCAGCCCGCAAAGAAAACAAATTTTTTTTTATTTCCAGGGCTCACCTGCAGCGGCCCATACCAAAAAAAAAAGAGAATTTTTTTTGTTTCTTTGGGCCAACCTGATGTGGCCCGCCCGCGAAAAAAAAAGTTTTTTTTGGCTGCTTAACGCAGCCCAGTCCACCCCGTAGGCCTGCAGCCTACACCCGAGACCCTCCCCAGTCCATTTTTTGGGCCTAGGTCTCACGGACCGAAATTTTCAAGCCACCCGTGGCTTCATATTTTCTTTTGGACCGCAAATTTATTCTCGGCCTATATTTTTAGGCCCCGAGATGTTATTATTTAATTTTTTTTTTTAAATAATATGGGTTTTATATTTTCACCCACACTTTAATTTGGCCCCGAAGACCAAAAATAAATTAATCCACTTATCATTATACAATATTTCTGCATATATTCTTTGCATATTTGTTTGCATATATATTTGTGTTTGCCTGCAGGAATATATGAACCTGAAGTTCATAATTACTTTGAAACCCGAAGTTTCTTCTAAACATGCCTTGTTTGAAAACCCGAAGTTTTCACTTAAACATATCACCCATGAAACCCGAAGTTTTTCATGCGAAATTAAACCAATACATGTCTATTAGAACCTGTATGTTCTACTCCTATGTGAATGGATTGATTTTTCTCCATTACACTAACCACATCTTGTTCATCCATTTTGTGATAGGAACATGTCGAATTTGAACAAACTCGACTTCACCGCTTTGGAGGTTTCTGGAAGGAACTACCTCAAGTGGGTTCAAGATGTGAAGCTCCACCTCACTGCAAAGAACTTGCGTCCTGCTATTGAAGAAGCAACAGATGCACCTGTTGGCGAAGCTGAAAAAGCCACTGCTATGATCTTCATCCGAAGACATGTCCATGACGCTCTGCAAACTGAGTACCTTGCTGAGGAGGATCCACGTGCATTATGGGTCGCTTTGGCTGATCGTTTCGATCACCAAAAGGACATATTCTTGCCTGAAGCAAGACATGACTGGCAGCACTTGCGCTTCCAAGACTTTAAGTCTGTGAATGAATATAATTATGAAGTTTGTCGAATCCGATCACTTCTCAAGTTTTGCAATGAAACTTTGACTGAAGAGGATCTCCTGGAGAAGACCTACTCGACCTTCTCTGCTTCTAATATTGTCCTGCAGCAACAATATAGAGCTCAGAAGTTCACTAAGTTCTCGGATTTGATCTCTGTTTTACTTCTTGCTGAAAAGCAGAACCAGCTATTGATGAAGAATCATCAAGCTCGACCTACTGGGGCTACTGTTGTGCCTGAAGCACATTATAGCACTAATCAGCACCCAAAACGCCAAAAGAGGCGTGGTAAGGGCGGCCAGAAGCCATCCCACCAAGGTCAACAGAGCCAAGGCCCATCCAAGGGAGGAAACAAAGCCCAGAAGCGCCCAAACCTCGCTCCCAAGGCCCCGAACTTCAAGAATAAAGGCAAAGCACTTGCCACAATGAATGACGATATGTGCTATCGTTGTGGTTCAAAGGACCATTGGTCCCGTATTTGCCGTGCTCCCAAGAAGGTTGTAGATGAATATCATTCTCGTCGTAAGAAGTTTGAATCAAACTTCATGCAAGTGGACGAACCGGAGACTACAAAGATGGAGGTTTCTAACTTTCAAGAGGATACCACTCCTATGGAAGATTAGAATCTTAGACATAGACTTATTTTTCAGTTGAAATAAGACAATTGGGGCCGAATTCCACCTAGTGGCCGAACCCCACCTTGTTTTTTTGGTTGATTTTGAACTATTTTCCTTTATGTTTTGGATTATTAGTTGGCGATTTATTTTGGATATTAAGTTTTTAATCCTTGAATAAATGAAATTATTTTGAATTGATACTTGTTTTTTATAAACTTTTATGCATGCATGTGACCGATTCAAATTAATTTTTCATTCTAGGTATGACTAGTGGGAAAGTTAGTTGTCTGGCAGATAGTGCAACCACGCATACTGTTTTGCGTGAACGCATCTATTTCACTAACTTCGTACCTAAGAATGCACCTCTGACAACCCTCTCAGGCCCATCCAACCTGATCGAAGGATACGGTAAGGCACGTATAATGTTGTCCAATGGTACAATCTTGACCATTGCTGATGCACTCTATTCTCCACGTTCCGGAAAAAGAAACGTTACTAAGTTTCAAGGACATTAGAGATAACAATTACCACGCTGAAACCCCACGTAGAAAACGGAGTTTGAATTTCTGTGCGTAACTTCCTACGAATATGGCCAGAAGCGTATTCTAGAGAAGATGGAGCGTAGCCCGAGTGGTCTGTATACTACGACCATACGCCTCATAGAATGCCACTATGTGGCCGGCCCTACCACAGGGACCGCGCACGAAATTACACTTTGGCATGATCGTTTGGGACATCCTGGACGAATAGCGATGCGCCGTATCCTCAAAACTTCACACGGGCATCCACTAACCCGAAGCTTAGGTTCAATCCATGAAATTGCATGTCAAACATGTTCTATGGGAAAGCTT